GAGATGGTCCTGCTTTGTTTCATAAAAAAGAATGGCCAACGTAGATACAAGTATCTTGTCTTAGGGAGGGATAAATCCTACTTTGTTAAACAACATTCTGATTCAAACAAAAAATTCTCTGAAACATTATCAAGATGCTTGATTTTTTGATTGACAACATATTTGTTACGTTTGGAGAACGTGTTTTTCAACAAACAATCGGCATTCCTCCGGGAACCAACTATGCCCCTCTTCTTGTCGACTTGTTCCTTTATTCATATGAGGGTGACTCCATACAGGAACTTCTTAGGAAGAAAGAAAAGAAGTTAGCAGTATCCTTTAACTTTACTTTCCGCTATATAAATGATGTTCTTTCACAAATTATTCAAAGTTTGGTGACTATGTTGAACGCATCTATCCCATCGAACTAGAGATAAAGGATACAACAGATATAGTTAAGTCTGCCTCATATCTTGACTTACATCTAGAAATTGACAATGAGGATCGGTTGAAAACAAAACTTTACGACAAAAGAGATGATTTTAAGCTGAACTTTCCATTTCTATGTAGCAACATTCCAGCAGCGCCTGCATACGGAGTATATATTTCCCAGTTGATGCGATATTCCAGGGCTTTTATTTCCTATCATGATTTGCTTGATAGAGGGTTGCGGCTTACAAGGAATCTATTAAACCAAGAGTTCCAAGTGACGAAGTTGAAGTCATCCCTTCGTAAATTTTACGGACGCCATCACGAGTTGGTTGGCCGTTATGGAATATCCGTTTCACTGATGATAGCGGATATGTTCCAAATGTCGTAACTACAATCCCGTCCCCTTTTCCCCGAATGTGACTTACCGAATTAGACTTATTACCGGGTTTGTACTAACATGAGCAACACGACTGGTGCCAAATGTGAAGCAGGATCTGCTTACCCTTCCGGAGCACCTGAGATCACCTCCAGTTTTTGGTGGGGTTCGTGTTGCTCAGTCTTTAGTTTTCTATGTTGTGTTTTGTGTACTATTGTTTGTCTGTTGGTCTTTTTCTTTTTTAGCCATGGCGTTGTCAGTTTATTATCGACTTATGAGTTTGAATGTCCCTTTGGTATATTTCGCCTCTCTTTTCTAAGTATTAAGGTATTTATAAATCTGTGTCATTCATTTTTTGTTTGTTATCGTTCTGATAAGAAGACGATCATTTGATTTGGGAGGGGGCAGGAGGATTTTGAAAATGAATATTCTGGCCAGGTGAGAGATGAAAATGAATAACCTTGCATAAAACAGAATGAAAATGAATATTCTACAACATAAAAGAAAAAGAATATTCCACAACACAAAATGCAGGAAACAATTGTGTACAAAAGTGAAAATAAATCTTCAAACATTTAAAAAACTAGAACCAAGAAATAAAAATGGTAAGGGCGTGCACGATACATGAGTTTAGTTTTATCATAAATAAGAAACACTAACAGTTGTTTACATTAGCATGGTATCTTTGATGAGTTTTTACCGATGTTCAATTCTCAAAAATCCTTTTGAAAATCAGGGTAAAAAAAATAATACTGTGGGAATTGCAAGAATTCTAAGACTGAGTACGTCGACAAGTGTATCGTTCTAGGCATGCATAAATCACCATGTGAATCCACACATTTTATAATGCCACAATCATGAAAAGGACAAAATCGGGAAATTTAAAAATCAGACGTCGTTTCTGTTATCAAAACATTTCACTAGAGAGTTGAGAAACAAACATATTCTCGTATCTGTCAATCAAATCGTGATAGAGACCGTAAAACTTATATAGTCACTGTGTCCATTTCAGGTATGCTCCTGCTGAGAAATTGGACTTTGATGATTAGAAAGTTAAAATCGTCACGTTTTAGACTAGTTTATAGTCGTCAATATGTGTCAACATCGATAAACAGATCAAGATGTGAAGCAGACCTTCTAGTTTCGGTAATATCCTTAATCCCACGTTCACTAGGATATATGAGATGCAAGCACTCAATGAAATGTGGGTTATTTAGTGACAGGACATCATCAGTATATCTGAAAGGGAAATTAAGAACTTTGCAAGATGTTTTTTCGTTTGTCTTTGAGAAGGTTTTGAATTAATTTTGTTTCATACGAGTACAAAAACAAGTCGACGATAGAGGTACACAATAAGATCCCATTGAAATATCAACCCAACAAACTCAGCAATTATTGGTCAATCAAAATGTCCAGCATTTGTATGATATCATCTTCTGTGTATTTGTTGTTGGAATCAGCGTGGATCTTCAAAAAGTAAGATTTTTCTCGATGTTTAATTAGACGATGTAGTCGATCTTTCAATTGAGCATTGAGAATAGTATTGTACAGCGTTGAAAAACAAAAAAAACTATTATATTACTGCAAATTGTAAATATTGTGATTGAAAATTTTTGAGTAGATCTGTAGATTTTTTTTTTAAATCACACGTGAGTGACATCACTGGTTGAATATATTTCAACACAATATCCCTGAAGGATATCCTTTTTATACCTTACGGTGACCTATAATTGCTTTTATCTTCGTCATTTGAAGTATAGAAACAATTGTAGTTAGAGATTTAGAAAGATGATTAGTCGAACATCTAGATGACCCCGCTATATATCGTTTTAGAGGATTTTTTTAATTTTAAGGTATCCAGGATACAGTCGCGAGATTTTCATCGTTGTTATGATATCACCAAAGGAATAAAAGACGGATGTGGGATTTTCTAAAAATCACCTCTTTCGTGAATGATGTAGGGGTATATCTGAAATTCCCAGATTTTCTGCGAATTCCAAGTTCTTTTGTTAGACATTCCAAATAAAGATTCGTTCATATAAAACAATGCTGTTTTATGCTTTGTCTGCTGTAACAACAACATATTTTTCTTGAAGAAAGGTAAAGCAGTTAAACCTCGGCCTCTTAAATGGGTTTTTAAAAGCCGTGTACTCATGGTACATCGAAGTTTTCTAATGTGCCTCTGAATGCATGGCCGAACTGTCGGCGAATATGCCGTCTGGTGACCTATAATTGCTAGTATCTTCGTCATTGGAACTCTGGTGGATAGCTGTCTCATTCTCAAAATACCACATCTCCTTATTTTTATTGGCATGATCCAGAGTCCGGTTTATGTTCATCTGGCTAGCGCTTAACCCATTTTCTGTCATATTCCTCAACTGTTTCCACCAGTAACCTTACGTTTTCTTCCAGTAAAATGGCTTGGGAATTCGCTAGTCTTGGTATTTGGCTAACAACTCTCTATATTCATTGTTTATTATAAAATGTCATGGTCTTCGATTATAATTTTACCAGTGGGGCTATATATTTAAGGCAAGGATGAACAAGAGAAATCGGGAGGTTTATTTTACATCCTTTAGGTTAAAGGTCTCTAACACCCTCTTGTTGTTGAAAATCTTAGATGCAATTGGTTTCGTGTAATAGGTAAAATGACATGTGTAGTTTTATCTTTGAAGTAATCGGGTATTGTTTTCTGTACAGATCTTTGGGGGGTGGGGGTGGATATTACTAATATGGATAGCATCCGAACCTTTATTAGCGTGTTCTACTTTAAAAAAAAAGTATGTTTTCATCATCTTTCAAAGTAGTTGTCACGGGTTTGATAGCTTGTAAATAGCAATGGCAATAGTTATTGCCACCAGTTTGTTCTTATTTCAATAACGAAAGTGTTTTTGGCCTCTTGAAAAAGTGAATTTCGTTTTGATAATAGTTTAGGGAACAGTTAGGGACCAATATGGTGAATTCCCAAAGGTTTTTGTACAGAGGATAACAAATATTCCATAGACAATGTGTAAACTGAAGGTGGTTAATATTTTGACACCTATAACTCTGAATATTGAGTAGCGAGTTAACTGGTGTGTTTAAACAGTATCGTGTACACATTTGTTATAATGTTGCGCATTCAACGCTCTTCGGTGTAAGAGAGGCCAAAGATACCAAAGGGATATTTAAACTTATAAGTAGAAAAAAACTGACAATGCCATGGCAAAAAAACGAAAACCTACGAAAAGATAAACAACAGTTCAGAAAAAACAATATGCCTACTTAATTCGAGTGTATATCTAAAAATGAACTTTATGACATATGGTCTATAGGCACAAGTTCGTGTGCACGTAAAACTGGTTATCCCTTCTACATGTTGTGGCTGTGCCTAAAAAACTCATTAAGGATACCAGACATAATATCTTAGCGCCAGACGCGCGTTTTGTCTGCATAAGATACATCAGTGGCGCTAAAATCAAACCAGTAAGACGGCCAAATCAAAAACGATATTGAAGAGCAATGAAAAAACAAAATATTACAAAAAAAACGTCGTCATCTGTGAAACTGGCGTCCGTAAAATTTACGAACGGATGGTTTCAACTTCACCACTTGGAACTCTTGGTTTGATAGCTTTCTCGTGAGCAGCAAACCTCTGTCAAGAAAATCATGCTATGATAGGAAATACAAGCCCTGGAATATCGTATCAATTGGGAGATATTTACTCCGTGTGCAGGCGCTGCTGTTTTTTTTTCTCAATCTTAACAGACATAACCTTAAATTGTTATATTCACGCAATATAGTCATATTTGTAGTTTCTATGATGGCCGGTGTGCTCGAAAACTTATTGGGTTTGAAAATAGTAGAATTCTTTCTTTTATGTCTTGTCATCTTTTTTCTATATGTATTTTCTTTCTTTAATGTCTTGTCAGCTTTTTTCTTTATTTATTTTGCACATTATTTTCGGCTTGTCTTTACTATGATATTTTAGAACTACATTATTCTCTATGCTTCGTTAATTTTTTTGCCTAGTTTTCTCTATTCTTTTTTTTTCTCTCTCATTTTTTGTCCATTATTCTCTATTCTGTAAAGCCTTTCCAGACCCTCAGATTTCTGTCATAATTTTAATTTGTCTACACAATTTTGATCGGGTTTGTCAGAATTATTTTTTTATCATTTAACTCTATGTTCGGACTTCCCTTATTTTATCATTGAGCTTCGAGGAAAAGCAGATTTATTTATAGGTTGCTAATGACGTCACGGGAACCTGTTGATAGCGTACAAAATGGCGTATCAAGCAGGGGGCACAGATAATATTTGTCTGATTACAGACTCATACAAGGTAATTAAGAGCTTAGATTACTAGATACTAAAATCTTCAAAAGTTGTGTCATTTATTGAGATTGTGCACACATTCTGAAAATAAACGTGTGCGTATGGGAACAGCTTCTCTGTATTTCCTTCATTTTTTTCAATAACGAAAGTAAAAGTTGTTAATTCAGCGGTTTATAAACTTGATTTGATTGTGCAATTTATTTAACGTTTAAGAACAAATCCACACCGTCCCCCTTTTCGAAAGTTCGAAAGCATATTCCAAATTAAGAAAATATATAATCAACCTTGCGTAAACTGAATCCTCAAAGGTAATCAACTGATCATGAGAAGAAGAAATCGATAGAGTCATCATTCATAATCATTCATGTGTGAAAAGGTCGAGTAGAAAATACTGTTAACTGGTTTATACATACATGATAGTTAATTACATTTTATGATGGCAAGCAGTAAAATTGTTACATGGTATACAGGTTAATGTTTGTTATGATGGGTTTCTTGCATGTCTTCTCATTTATTATGCAGGATCAGTTGCTAATACAATTTGATAAAGCTACAATGTTTAGGACAAAATTGACTATTTCATGGCTCCTTTGCTTTTTTTCATTAAATTCTGCATACATTGTTTATTTCTCTTGATATGTCTTAAGTTCAAAAGAAAGTGATAGTCATCTCATGAGATGTCAAATCAATACTAATAATTGTCCCTGGAACTTTAGAAGTACATAAACAGACCTGTACTTCAGGTCTGAGTAAGAGGCTAAATAAGCGTCCTATTTCAATTTCATACAATTTAATAATTCACTGAATAACCAAAAAGGACCAAAAGTAAAACGAAATCAAGATGAGGAATCCGAGCTAAAAATGCATGAGAAAAATACATTCCTTAATTTGATAAATGTGTCCTTGATTCGCCATTTTAAATTAAGACTGACTCAAGTTTCAAATTTAAATTCTTTCTCTTCTGGTTTTATCAAATTTGCTTACTGCAATTTTATTTTCTTGATAAGAAAAATGAATTGACAGAAATTTGACATTCATGTTTGCATACTAATTATACATTTTGTATGTGTTATGAGTGTTTGAACTTAGTAATCTGGGGATATTTTTTTTGCCTAGTAACAATGTGGGGTATGTGAGCGTGCTCACAAAGGTTCTTACATTCTTTCAAATTTTATATTGAATGTAAAGAGAAGTAAGAATGGATTACAGTTTCAGAATGGCCAAATCAAAATTCAACTTATTAAAGAAAAAAACTCGTTGCAACAAAAGTATTTAAGTAATATTAAAGAGTTTAGTAAAAATGTGAGAGAAAATATAGGTGGTAAATATTTGTGTAAAACCATATCATATTTTGCTGTTTCACTCATATATTATTCTTTGTTAGTTGACATGGTTGAATAGGTAAATTGGAAAAAAAACACAAATATTTCTCATTTTACTTTGTTAATTTTTTTATATTGATACATTTTTAATTAAAAAAATGAAAATAATTAAGTCTTAACATAGCATTCAACATTTGTCTATGCATTACACATGTTACATGTACTTGTTGAGCATGATACACATTTTATAGTCACCAATAACTGACTTACATGGTACACTTGCAGTCTTCATGCTTAACCAAAAGACCACCAGAGGCTTGTAAAATTGAGCTTCGAGCTTGTGGATTAAAAAGTTTATCATGAAGACTGCACTTGCTTAATAATATTCCTATTGTCTGTATTCACATTAACAACAGTTAAAAAAATTGCTTTAGTTAAAGTAGAAAATAATTAGAGCATTAAAAATAAAATCTTAATAATCAACTTTTTCAGGGTGGTAAAGTTCTACACGCCATAATTATACGTCCATCAAAATTTTGACGGTACGTATTATGGTATACAAATGTCGTCTGTCTGTCCGGCGTAAACATGTCGCACCATAACTTGAGAACGACTTATCCAAATTTCATGGAACTTAACATAGTTGTTTCTTATGATGGTCAAACGATCTGCATACTTTTTGGTGAAAATAAGATTAAAACTTTTTGAGTTACGGGACTTAGTAACTTAAACAGGTGTGTGTTTTTTTTTTACATGTCACGCCTTATCTCACAAACAATTTATGATTATTGCTAAAAACTTTACACACTTCTTAGTTATATTAATCTTAAGATCTGTATACTTTTTAGTGATGATTCAAAATTTTATTTTTGAGTTATTGAGTATTTTGTAAAAAAAGGGGGAGGGGTTTTTCACATGTCGCACCTTATCTCCAAAGCGATTGATGATTATTGCTTAAAATTTTACACACTTCTTAGTTATATTAATCTAAAGATCTGTATACTTTTTGGTTTTGATTCAAAATTTATTTTAGAGATATTGATTTTTTTTTTTTTAAAAGGGGGGTTTTCACATGTCGCGCCGTATCTCAAAAACGTTTTATGATTGTTGCTTAAAATTTTACACACTTCTTGGTTATATTAATCTTAAGATCTGTATACTTTTTGGTTTTGATTCAAAATTTTATTTTAGAGATATTGAGTTTTTTTGTTTTAAAAAAAGGGGGGTTTTCGCATGTCGCGCTGTATGTCAGAAACTATTTATGATTATTGCATAAAAAGTCACACACAAGACGACCGGCGTATCATGCGCTCATGGCGCAGCTGTTTATTTTTTCTTGCTATAAATTTGGTCTATGGTGGTAATTTGGGCTTAGAATATCAGATAAATTAATTATTATTTAATGACTTTTGGCTTTTCCTTGCAACTTTGTTGTTTCTCAATTCAGTTTTTTCTTACTTTATATTCATGATGTTTAAAGAGGTTCGAATCTCAAACAAACAAAACTTTTAAGTTTTAAATTAGAGAACATTGAAATAAAATGTGTATCAATTTTTTATCTGCAATGTTCATCTTTATGTTGACTTCAATTTGGAATTAAAATAGAAAGCTTAATGTGCATATTTTCATTCACATTTTTTCAGTAGTACAATTTATTGTGCTGACAAACTTACTTTTTTACATATACATGTATTATGTACACTTGATTTAAAATTTAAAGGTATAGTATTTTTCACATTTCTCGAGAAGTTTGAGCATGTTGCCAGAGTGGCTTTAGAAATTAAAGGTCAGGTCCATTCATTCCTATTTATTATTGCTGACTAACAATGACACAGCACTGTTGAGCCATAATCTGCTTGAGGTTGTTACCAACAAGGAAGTGATTGTTTGATGGTCCTTGTTTGTATTGGACCCCTGATGATTATATTTGCAAATCATATCACATATATGTTACATGTAGAACTTTGATAAGAAAAAAGCGTAACAAAACTATACACATGATTATTTGGCAATAGATTTCTGCAACTTGTCCCAATATTTATAATTTGTCCAATAGCATTCCAATACATTTGTATTTCTTTAATCCATCGTCATGTGTTTTTTTCTTCTTCTGTTGGACAATGTAGGCAGAGTTCTCAAAATCTTTTTTCTCTGGTGGTCCTTGAAGAAAGTCTGCTAGTCCTCACTATTTTTTCTATTGCAAAATACCAAAATTGTGTTAGCCCTTTGCAAAATTAGGTGGTCAAAACCTTAGGACCACATCTTTTCAAGAACTCCGCATTTTGTGATCTATAAACTGTCTGACAGTTACTGAAAGTAGGCTCAAATTACTTATATGTAAATCATGCAGTCTATTGGCTGATTTCTTTCAAGTAGATTTCATACAGCAACATGATGAACACTGTGGGAAGTTGTAATCTTGTGCCATGTCTGAAGTGACTTTGTATAATGAATTTCAATATAGAAAAGAAAAAACTCAAAAGTATTTTAATCGTGTTTTAAACAAGCTAAGTGGAGTGTCCCCGTATAATTTTAAGTGTAATTTGGGGTTTGTTTATACGTCGCTGTCAGATTAATAAATTTTGAATTGAGTTGCTATGAAGTCAAACTCGGCTTATCATGATGAATATTACATGGACATCAACATTTCCGTTTCTGGACAAAATCTTTCAAGTCATTAGGAATATCTTTACAAAATTTGGCTTGATAATAACTCATAGGAATTTGAAGAGGAAGACCCCTTTAATTGAGGGATCAATAGGTCAAAATTTTGTTGCTTCTACTATAAATCCATATAGATTGTTACTCAGCTTATGCACTCATTGTGCTTCTTTTATTTTCACCTTTCTTGAAATATATGTCATAAAATTTTACATATGACCTTTACTTACACTTTTTGAATATTCTTGATTAGCCACTGGAAATACATGTAGTAACATTTATGTTATAGATTATACTTTTGTTTTAGGTTACACATCATTACCAGTACCCACCAAATACCACAGTAGTTTCTTCATATTTTGAGAGTCGAGGTGGAAAATTTCCAACAACTGTGTTCTTTGGTCTCCAGTATATCTTGAAGAGATTTTTAACAGGACCAGTAGTAACCAAAGAAAAAATTCAGGAGGCCAAAGAATTATATAAAGATCATTTTGGTCATGATTACTTCAATGAAGAAGGCTGGAATTATATATCAGAGGTTTGTACATGACGTTGTCACTGGGTACCAATCTCTTCTAAATGAGTTATCACATGTTTATTTTGATGATATGGTGTAAAAACTAGGGACACCATCACAGTGATTGACATAGTGTGCATTTTTCAATTAAAAGAAGTATAAGGCCATAAAGATAGGACTCCATAAATGAGAACGACTAATGAAGAACTGAGATCAAACAAACCACACTTTAATTATAAAACAAATTATCAACCGGTTGGGGAAAGTAAAAATCATCAAAAAAGAAGAAAATAATTATTCAGGGTTTTTTCAAGCTAATTTTGAGCAAGACAACCTTTTTACCTATGTTATAAAATAATTGTATATTGAATTTAATAGATACTTAGTATAAAAATACAAAATTCTGATCTAAGTCTAAGAGTGCATACTTTTACTGAAAGCTAGTTCAAAGCCAATTTCAACTAATAAATAAGCAGTCTTTGGGAAAAATTTTGTATTTTGAAAATATCAGATTTGGTTTATTTTATTCAGAAACATGAAGGACACATACCACTAAGAATCAAAGCCGTACCAGAAGGAACAGTTGTACCATATAAGAATGTTCTGTTTACTGTAGAAAACACAGATCCTAAATGTTACTGGTTAACTAATTATTTTGAAGTAAGTATATAACTACAGTGAATTTAAAAGTGTGTCAATGGGCCAAAATAATGGTTTTATCCTGCTGCCTTCTTTTATAAAAAGAAATTATGTTTTTTATGCCCCCGCCGTAGCGGAGGTGGCATTAAGTTTTACCCTTGTTCGTCTGTACGTCCTTACATCTGTACGTCCTTACATCTGTACGTCCCGAAATTGGTTTCTGTTCTCTAACTTTAGTTTGACTCAATCAAATGTTATGAAACTTATACACAATGCTTATTACCACAAAACACATATCAAGTTTGAATTTTTACTTTCTAGAGTTGTGCCCCTTTACAAATGGAAAAATTGCTGCATTTTTCGTTTCTATTCTCTAACTTAAGTTTGCCTCAACCAAATGTTATGAATCTTAGACACAATCCTTATTACCACAAAACAGAGATCAAGTTTGAATTTTGGGGGTGTCACTTTTACCGTTCTTGAGTTATGCCCCTTTACAAATGGAAAAATGGCTGAATAATGTTCTTGAGTTGTCCCTTTATAACGTTATATGCAAGCGGGGGCATCATCTGTGTCCCATGGACACATTCCCCATTTATTTGAATAAGATCTAAAACTAAGTTGTGCATTTTTTAGGGGGAGGGGGCTGTATATTATTATATATTGTTTCACCTGAAATTGAACATATTAGCACTGATTTGTTTTTATACGACCACAAATTCGAATCACGTCATCGTCAGCGTCGTTTGAAGACATTTGGTTTCCGGACAATAACTTTAGTATAAGTAAATAGAAATCTATGAAATTTAAACACAAGGTTTATAACCACAAAAGGAAGGTTGGGATTGATTTTGGGGGTTATAGTCCTAACAGTTTAGGAATTAAGGGCAAAAAAGGGGCCCAAATAAGCATTTTTCTAGTTTCCAGACAATAACTTGTGGAAGGGTGTATGGATCTCTCTAAAATTATACCACAAGTTTCCATACCACAAAGGGATGGTTAGGATTGGCTTTGGGGGGTAATGGCTCAAACCGTTTAGGAATTAAGGGCAAAAAAAGGGGATAAACAAGGGTTTCCTTGTTAATGGATAATTACTTTTAAGTGCAATGTTTTGTGTTTGGATTACTTCCCTTACACTGCTTTTAAATTATGTATAAAGAAATGTTGTATTGTCTTGAGGTGATAAGCTGTCAATTTATTTTTAAAAGTAACTATTAAAATTCAGCATAGTGTATTGCACAAAAGCAAAACATTGAATATAAATTCAAATTATATAACCAATTCTAAGTTCTTTGACTACAGTTATTCTGAGTCAGAAACCTATTATGTGTCAAATATTTAATTACAATCCAAATTCGGACCTGTATCAAGCGCGAATATTGTGTCCATTTTTGCCCCAACTGTTCAGGGCTGGACCTCTGCGGTCGTATCCAGCTGCGCTCGGCGAAGCAATTTATTTAGTAATTACTTTGTTTTAAAGTTACAGATAGATCTGTTGCATGAAATTTAGCCGTTTCGGAAATTACTGTTGAAATAAATCTGAGATTTTATAGGTTAATTATGATATCAAAAATCTCTTTTAAAGTTTGACTTGGATCCATAGACTGCCAGATATTATATTTTATGTACAATAGAGCCCACTGGCTGTCAGATTTATTTCTCTTACAAAAGAAACCACAGACTGTCAAACTATATTATTAAACCCTCATTCTCCAAGTCCATCCCTCCATCTTCTTTTCAACAAATATTTTCATCACACTTTTTTCATGTACTTCTTTATTATCAGAATGACTACATATTTGGTCAACAGCTTGTTAGTTATACTTTTTATATGCCCTCTTACGGGACATATTATGTTATACCTCCGTCCGTCTGTCGTCAACATGTCGGACAATAACTCAAAAACGCTTTAAACAATTTGCATGAAATTTTGGTGAAATATTTATATCTCTTGACGTGAGCTCCTTTTCGTTTTTAATAAATTTGAGATTTTTTGTTACCGAGTTTTTGGGTTTTTTTCATTAAAAAAGGGGGATTTTTCAGTTTTCAGACAATAACTCAAAAAGACTTTCACCAATTTACAAGAAACTTTGGTGAATTGTTTATATCTATTGTCATGAGCTCCTTTCGATTTTTATAAATTTTAGATTTTACGTTTCCGAGTTATGGGGTTTTATTCATTAAAAAAAGGGGGATTTTCCAGTTTTCGGACAATAGCTCAAAAATGCTTTTAGCAGTTTTCATGAAACTTTGGTGAATTGTTTATATCTATTGACTTAAGCTCCCTTTCGATTTTTATAAATTTTAGATTTTACATTTCGGAGTTATGTGATTTTATTCATAAAAAGGGGGGGATTTTCAAAAATTTTCCAGTTTTCGTACAATGCTTTGAGCAGCTATCATGAAACTTTGGTGACTGGTTTATATATATCAAGATAACCTCCCTTTAGTTTTTCATGAATTTCTAATATGACATTAAGAAGTTATTGAACCTTATTCTTTGAAAAAGCGACGGGCGTATCATGCGCTCATGGCGCAGCTGTTTATTGTAATCTGTTAGACACCTACTTCCTATTTGACAATACACATGTACTTTAAAATTTTCAATATTAAGAAATAACTTTATTTTTAGCCACACATTTTTCCTGTACTACTAAACAGAATAATTTTATATTTGATCAGCAGTGTAACGTGTGGGTGCTTTTAAGATATTACTGGTTTACCCATACTTTGAATTACAAGTGGTGAGATTTGTTGCCAACAATGCCTAAATTCTTGTTTCATTTACAATACCTACACTAACAGGACATTTTTGCAAGTCATTCTTTATATTTCAGACCTTATTAGTTCAGGTATGGTATCCAATGACAGTGGCCACGAACTCAAGATACCAGAAGGAAATAATTGCCAGACATTTAGATGAAACAGCTGATAATTTAGATGGCTTGCCGTTTAAGTTACATGATTTTGGATTTAGGGGATCAACATCTGTAGAGGTTAGTTTTTTTTAGAATATAAAGAATTAAAAGTCATTTTTTTATGGATGTATGTAAATAAGAGTATGTGGTATGATTGCCAATGACACAACTCTCCAATAAAGACCAAACGATGTAAAAGATAATGACTAGGTCACAATATGGCCTTTAACAATGAGCAAAACCCATATCGCATAGCAATCTATAAAAGACCCTGAAACAACAAATGTAAAACAATTCAATGATAAAACTAACTGTCGAATTTATGTACAAAACAACAAAAGGAAAACAAATATAATTTACAGAAACAAACGACAACCACTGAATTACAGGCTCAAAGTCAACTGAGATATACTATGTACCCACTCAGTAGAACATGTTAATTTAGTGTTCATGCTAAATAGGAATGAAAGATTTGTAACTGAACATTAAACAAGCAACAATAAATCAATCAGTTTGAAGGAATAAAATAATATAACATATATTGAAAACATTCTTAAAACATGGATATCCCATCACAAAAATAAAGACCAAATTATTTATTTTATTCATTGCAAAGAGCAAAAAAGCGACCAGTCTTCTGTCTCTCTTAATAATACTTCTCTTACTTTAAAAATCAAACTAGAATATAATAAACGACTTTAAAAATCAAACTAGAATATATTAAATGACTGAGTACACTAGTACCGGTACTTGTTTTCAGTTCTCAAAATTCAATGTCCTCCATTTTGGCACCTGCCAAAGTGTTCAGATAATTTTAGCTATTAATATAAGAGGATTAGTTCCTGATTAATATCACTAAAGAAAGTGTAATCTGGATCACTTATCAGAGTTTCAACTGAATAGTGTATTCATTGTTTATGGCTGTGATTTACAATGTATGATTTCTCATGAATAATTAATTGGCCTAATTAACCCACGTCATTATGGTTTAACTTACTTAAACACTTTGATTAAGACTATTATTTATGCTGTAACACACTTTTGGAGATTTAAAACTTGTAATAAATCTATTGGATAATACCTAATCAGGTGACATGAGCTATTTAAGGTAAATTTTATTTAAATCCAAGGAATGATGAATGACCCCTAACATTTACAATGTGCAGTGAATCACCCTATTATCCACTGATGAATAACCTTCTTGAGCCTCTTGATTTGTACACAAGTTATCTCCCTTCAAATGAAGTCGCTTGTGTCTTCAAACATATTGGCAACGCCAAGGTTAGGGAAAGTATCCATTTTAATGTAATTCAGTGGAAAAATCTGTTTACATTACTTTCTTACAAAACTTAAGAATAGTTCATATTTTAATGATATTGTAAATCCACAAAATAATGAATGCAGTATTATTTTTTCATTATGATTTTTCAACCATCAACTTGTGAAACTGATGCAAAATTAAACATATAAAATTGTATTTACACTCATAAGCACAAAAAAAAACACAAAATAAAGTGTCATGAATAGAGGGTTAATGGCTCACTGGAAAAAAATCTAGAATCCAGTAAATGTATAACTTTGACCAGTCCCTTAGAGTTCATATAATTTATGTATGTTGTTCTCCTTTCATTAGGAGTACCTCCATGAGATGCAGTGTAAAGAGGGTATTTTAAGACACTTTATCAGCACACATTAATATACATGATATAGGCATTTGTATACTAAATTCTTATACCTGGGCTGTGGCTATGACAGGTCTAACCTTCCAGAAATCCATCCTTTAGTTTAATGAAGTCAAAACATTTAGTATAAGACTGATAACCCTCAAGATTCAAATTATGATTCTAATAATAATCAACTGTTTTTTTTTTTTTTTTATAGTCAGCTGGTATTGGAGGATGTTCCCATCTTGTGAACTTTCAAGGAACAGATACAATAGCAGGGATCATGACAGCTAGAACATATTATGGTTGTAAAATAGCAGGCTTTTCCATACCAGCAGCAGAACATAGGTTTGTTAAGCTCAAATCATATGATTGTACCTATCAGAACCACGTCACTAAGCCTCTCAAAGTCGCCACATTTCACATTCATTTTAGTTATCAAATTTTATCACCAGACAAATGATTAATTTACAATTTTTTGTCATAAAAATGTAAATGAAATTCCCAGTTTGGACTCTATGGCAATTGCCAAAAGTGTTCAAGATAAGATCTGTTTTTGTCTCGCCTTGACGGAGTCAAAAAGCGAGACATAGGTATGCTGTTTCCGGCGGCGAAGGCGGCGTCAACAATGTATTAGTTTGTGATTAGGTCTAGTTCATGGTGAACCACTAGTGGTAGGTCAATGATATTTGGTATGCAGTTGTATTAGCATTGGCACATCTCATTACCATGGAGATTATTTGGCCCCATCCCCTCAGTCAAGGTCTATTGACTTTGAAACTTTGCTTAGTTTACATGTATTAGTTTGTGATTGTGATTAGGTCAGTTTATGGGGAACCACTAGTGGTAGGTCAATGATATTTGGTATGCAGTTGTATTAGCATTGGCACATCTCATTACAATTGAGATTATTTGGCCCCACCTCCTCAGTCAAGGTCTATTGACTTTGAAACTTTTCTTCGTTTATATGTATTAGTTTGTGATTAGGTCAGTTTATGGGGAACCACTAGTGGTAGGTCAATGATATTTGGTATGCAGTTGTATAAGCATTGGCATATCTCATTTCCATGGAGATTATTTGGCCCCGCCCCCTCAGTCATGGTCTATTGACTTTAAAACTTTTGCTTAGTTTACATGTATTAGTTTGTGATTAGGTCAGTTTAAGGGGAACCGTTAGTGGTAGGTCAATGATAATTGGTATGCAGTTGTAGAAGCATTAACACATCTTATTTCCATGGAGAATATTTGGTCCTTACTTCTCAGTCATGGTCTATTGACTTTGAAACTTTTGCTTAGTTTACATGTATTAGTTTGTGATTAGGTCAGTTTAAGATGAACCACTAATGTTAAGTCAATGATATTCAGTATGCAAATGTATTGGCATTTGCAAGTTTCATTTCCATGGAGATTATATAACCCTACCCCCTAATTATGGTTCATTAACTTTCAAACTTTTACATAGTTTACAAGTTAATGTTTGTGTTTAGGTTTGTTTCAAGGGAACGACTTATGAAAAGTCAATGGTATTTGGTTTGCAGTTGTATTAGCATTAGCACATCTCATTTCCAATGAGACAGTTTAGCCCTGTACATTCAGTCATGGTTCATTGACTTTGAATATTTGCATAACTTACATGTTAAAGTATTGTAATTTTAATTTCAACATTTGCATTATCAAAATAACAAATAGGCGAGACATATCTCTGTGTTAACAGTTTATTATAATTTTAGGCTGTGCAGTCAGTATATAGGATCAAGAATAAATGCATTAATGATAATCATTTATGAAATAAGATATAAAAAAAAATATTGAAAGAACTTGAATAGCCGGACATTGGTATAAAGTGAGTCAGCCAAGTTAATTCATAAAAAATATAAAAGTAACCTTTATTATTACTAAATACTAACTAACTGCTGTAAATTCCGGCCTGGATTATACCACAATATTTTCTATTCATGGTGAATGGTTTCTGCTGTTGCAGTTTATTATTTAAGGGGTTAATTTAAAAAACCTTTAATATCACAAAGTTTTGCATTTTGAAGATTTTTCATCATTCACAGCATGCAAAAATTTCTGAATTTCTGAATTCTTTAGAATTGAACACTTGCTATTAAATAAGTTAACACATATATGGTTTTGGTTGTAATATGACTTCAGTTGGTCATTTCAAAGGTCTACCAACAATTGAAAGAACCATTGTTGCAGCTTTTGCAATGAATTTTGATTAAAGTTGAATTTGAAGGCAATTTTGGCTATTATTATACTTTACTATAGTAACCACCAATAAAATGATAAAAGAATTACTGTGTGTTTTATTCCTTCAAGGAGAATAACCCCCTTTTCCCGTGGCAGATTGCGCATCGGCAAAATAACTGTTTAGGAGTATGCCTATAGGCAAAATAACTGTATGGGAATATGCATGTAGACAAAATAACTCTTCAGGAATATATACAAAGCGAACATAACTTTTAAATTTGGCGCACATTTGCACGTCAAAATAATAACTAGCTACTGACGTTATATCTTTTGTTGATATTTCTGGTAAATATAACGGCCAAACAATAATATATCTGTATTCAGTTCAGTGTAATAATACAGTTAGGCCTTCATGAAAAGTTAATATCCAAAAATATTAAATCTTGGACCTCGAGGAAAATCTTTCCTGGAGTTAATAATTTTGGATATTCACTATTCATGAAGTCCAAGATTGTATATTAAACTTGGAAATCTATAATAAATAAATATTTGTATGTCTCTTAATTCTAAATTAGCAATATTTTTACGTTCAAGGTAATTTATATGTATATTTTCAGCACAATTACTACTTGGGGAAGAAATGGTGAATATGAAGCTTTTAAAAACATGTTGACAAATTTTCCTACTGGACTTGTTGCATGTGTAAGTGACAGCTATGATCTCTGGAATGCCTGTGAGAAAGTTTGGGGTGAAGAACTGAAGGATTTAATTGTTTCACGAGGGGATAAAGGAACTCTTGTTGTTCGTCCAGACAGTGGTGATCCTCCAGAGATTGTCGTTAAGGTAACCACATTACTTTATTTATTATACAATCTCAAGCAAACATAATCTCATATGGATAAAAAAAAAAATTCCTATAGACATGAGTTTTGTCCCCTGTGTAACACGTTGCAGGGGACATATAAATACCAGTATGATTTTTGTACCCCGCTCAACGCGTAGCGGGCACATGGAAATACCGGGCAATCCTTCTGGTCTTGTTAGTGCTCTCACAGGTACAATTCTTGCCAGATTTTTATAAAACTTATACTATAGGTTAATATCAGCAATATCTCAGACAAATTCTATAATGGTGGGCGATGGACTTTTTATAAAAAGAGTTATGCCCCTTGGAAATATTAAATTTATGGAAAATGGCCTCGTTAGCACTCTCAAGCGACAATTCTTGCCAGATTTTTATAAAACTTATACTATAGGTAAATATCAACAATATCTCGGACAAGTTTTATAATAGTGGAAGATCGACTTTTTTAAAAAGAGTTATGCCCCTTGGAAATATTAAATTTATTGAAAATGGCCTCGCTAGCGCTCTCACGGATACAATTCTTGCCAGATTTTTATATAACTTATACTATAGGTTAATATCAGCAATATCTCCAACAAGTTCTATAATGATGGACAATCGACTTTTTTTAAAAGAGTTGTGCCCCCTGAAAATATTCAAATTTATGGAAAATGGCCTCGTTAGCGCTCTCACGGGTACAATTTTTTATATGTATATTTTCCAATGGCATTCTAAATTTCCTGCCCATTATCCAGGTGTAGACCTCCCTATTACTGGACCTAACCTATTGTATTTATTGTTGATTAGGGCCCAGCTGAATGGTCGCCTTATTGTGATCAGTCTGTCTGTCCATCCGTAACAAATTGTGTCTGCTCTATATCTAGAGAACCGTTATGATTTCATACTTCATACTTGACATGTATATTAACCAACACCAGAGAGTGTGTTATAATGTTTGTACAACTTCCTAGGTCAAAGGTCAAGGTCAAAAACTTTGGTTTCAGTTGACAACCCCATGTCCTATGGTAAAGATTGTGTCCGCTCTATATCTTGAGAACCGTTATGATTTCAAAGTTTATACTTGACAAGTATATTAACCAATACCAGAGGGTGTGTCATAATGTATTTACAACTTCCTAGGTCAAAGGTCAAGATCAAAAACTTTGGTTTCAGATGACAACCCCATGTCCTATGGTAAAGATACAAATTTTTTACCACACCTTATTCACAGCGGGGCCCACAGAGATGGCTCCCATCTCAATGATGTCTAGTTTGTTCTTGTCCTGAACATGCATGAAATATTTGCCACTGGACAGAAAACAAACAACAATAGACAATATACATGATCTAATTTATATAGAAAGAAATACATTATCAATAGAAACAGTTGGGTCTTTTTTTTTCCTGAAAAAAATATTCTCTAGAAATATATACACACAAATTGAAGGAATCGATAGTCATCAATAGAAAGCAGGTATTAAGATATTTACTTATTTACATGTTTTGGTTTCTAATGCAAATTTAAATTTTAGTGTATAATTACAAAATTGGGTCTGAATGGTATTACTTATAAAAATATGGGAATTTTTCATTTGACTTTAATAATTTCATTCATGATAGTCATGATAGTATCATCAAAATGGGTACGTTTGTTGTGATTACATATTTATTTACATTTTCCTTGTTGTGATTACATATTTATTTATATTTTCCTTGTTGTGATTACATATTTATTTATATTTTCCTTGTTGTGATTACATATTTATTTATATTTTCCTTGTTGTGATTACATATTTATTTACATTTTCCTTGTTGTGATTACATATTTATTTATATTTCCCTTGTTGTGATTACATATTTATTTATATTTTCCTTGTTGTGATTACATATTTATTTACATTTTCCTTGTTGTGATTACATATTTATTTATATTTTCCTTGTTGTGATTACATATTTATTTATATTTTCCTTGTTGTGATTACATATTTATTTATATTTTCCTTGTTGTGATTACATATTTATTTATATTTTTCAGGTGTTGAATATTTTAGGAAATAAATTTGGAACTTCAACAAATAGTAAAGGATACAAAATGTTACCGTCATATATTAGAGTAATACAAGGGGACGGTATAAGTTATGAAACATTAGGTGCAATTTTAGAAAATATGAAGAAACATAAATGGAGTGCTGACAATCTAGCTTTTGGAAGTGGTGGTGCTTTGTTACAAAGATTAGACAGAGATACACAGAAATGTGCTTTTAAATGTAGTTATGCAGTTATCAATGGAAAAGAGGTAATTTTTATGCCCCCGCTGTAGCGTACGGGGCATCAAGTTTTACCCTTGTATGTATGTCCCGATATTGGTTTCCATTCATTAACTTTAGTTTGCCTCAACCAAATTTTATGAAACTAATACACAATGCTTATTACCACAAAACACAGATCAAGTTTGAATTTGGATGGCGTCACTTTTACCTTTTGTAGAGTTCTTCCCCTTTACAAATGGAAAAATTGCTGAATTTTTCGTTTCCATTCTCTAACAAGTTTGCCTCAACCAAATGTTATGAAACTTATACACAATGCTTATTACCACAAAACACAGATCGAGTTTGAATTTTGGTGGCGTCACTTTTTTATTTTCTAGAGTTATGCCCTTTACAAATGGAAAATTTTCGCTTCCATTCTCTAACTTAAAGAATTACATACCATAAGTATTGCTATTCAGTCAATTGAGTTTTTAACCCATTTCTGTCGAGCCTGTGACTTCTGGATATAGGGATTGTGATCTGGCGGCGTTAACAACCTACTTAAAAGCTTTATATTTCAGAAGGTAGAAGACCTGGATGCTTCATACTCTGTTTATAGATGCCTTGTGTTATAAAGTTTCCGTCTGTCATATGTCCATTGTCCTTGACATCATTTTCATGGTTCAGTGAATACTTGAAAAAAAAAGTTAAGATTTTTTTGTAATATTAATTTCTCTCTTATTATGAGTAATAGGATAACCATATTTGGTATGTGCATACCTTGCAAGGTCCTCATGCCTGTCAGACAGTTTTCACTTGACCTCGACCTCATTTCATGGATCAGTGAACAAGGTTACGTTTTCGTGGTCAAGTCCATATCTCAGATACTATAAGCAATAGGTCTACTTAATTTGTTGTATGGAATGATTGTAAGGTGAACATGTCCAACTGGCAGGTGTCTTCTGACCTTGACCTAATTTTCATGGTTCAGTGGATAAAGTTAAGTTTTGTGTTTAGGTCTGTTTTTCTGAAACTGTATGCAATAGGGCAACTATATTTGGTGTTTGGAAATATTTTACGATGTACATGTCAGTCTGGCAGGTTGTATTTGACCTTGACCTCATTTTTACGGTTCATTGCTCAATGTTAAGTTTTTTGTGTTTTGGTCTGTTTTTCTTCAACTATAAGCAATAGGTCAACTATATTTGGTGTATGGAATGATTGTAAGGTGTATATGTCTGTCTAGCAGTTCTCATCTGACCTTGACCTCATTTTCATGGTCCATTGGTCAATATAAAGTTTTCATGGTTTGGTCTGTTTCTTGTAAACTATAAGCAAACGGCCAACTATATTTGGTGCATGGAATGATTGTCAGGTGTACATGTATTTCTTGCCTGGTTTATCTGACATTTGACCATGTTAAGTTTATATGATACTTGTATTTAAACTTTATTTTTAGGAATTTCAATATAAAATCAATGGTCAGTAAAGTAGGCGAGACATTACAGCGTGTGCACTCTTGTCTTATCAGAAAAAAAAGACAGAAGAAATGCACTGATTTTTAAGACAATTCATTTTGTCCTTCTTTTTAATGAAAAGATCAAATTTGTTCAGTTAGAAATATAGTAACTGACCCATATACTGACAAATCAGTAATTTTTATCAGCAAAGAATATCTCCAGTAATTGAGATAATAATACAAAATTAAACTTTTATAGGTTAATGTCTTCAAACAGCCAATCACAGATTTGGGTAAAAAGAGCAAGAAAGGTCGTTTATCATTAGAATGTGAAGATGGTGAATACAGAACAGTAGAGGAAGGAAAAGGAGATCCAAAGAAGGTAAAAACATTTATGATTCAAGCTGTTAAGTCCAGAAACATCCATATCTATTAGGAATGACTTGTAATACAAATGACCAAAATGAAACTCCTAAATTCGGTCAATTAAATTTTTCCATTTACCAATTTCTAATGTTTTCAATGCCTTTTTTTTTTGTTGTCAGAAATTGGTTTTTTTGTCTTGGAAGCCAGACACAGCAATCTTACACTGTAGACTGTGTCAACATAGAGTACAGTCTCTAGTTAAATAAAATTCTATAGGCATCAATAACTTTGTCAAACCTTCATGGAATTGCATGAAACTTAGAAAAGCTTTTTTATGATAAAAAACCCAGAACAAAATTTTGAAAATATTTTTTTTTTATTTTTCTGTATTTTATACCCCTAGCAAACACAGTTTTTGTCGAGCCTGCGACTTTTGTCGCAGAAAGCTCGACATAGGGATAGTGATCCGGCAGCAGCGGCGGCAGTGTCGGCGTTAGCTAACTTCTTTTAAAAATCTTTATATTTTAGAAGATGGAAGATCTGGGTGCTTCATACTTTGTATATGGATGCCTCATGTTACGAAGTTTCCATCAGTTACATGTCCAATGTCCTTGACCTCATTTTCATGGTTCAGTGACTACTTGAAAAAAAAGTTGATTTTTTGTAATGTTAAATTCTCTCTTATTATAAGTAATATGATAACTATATTTGGTATGTGCGTACCTTGCAAGGTCCTCATGCCCGTCAGACAGTTTTCACTTGACCTTGACCTCATTTCATGGATCAGTGAACAAGGTTACGTTTTGGTGGTCAAGTCCATATCTCAGATACTATAAGCAATAGGTCTAGTATATTCGGTGTATGGAAGGACTGTAAGGTGTACATGTCCAACTGGCAGGTGTCATCTGACCTTGACCTCATTTTCATGGTTCAGTGGTTATAGTTAAGTTTTTGTGTTTTGGTCTGTTTTTCTTATACTGTATGCAATAGGTCTACTATATTTGGTGTATGGAAGAATTTTTAGCTGTACATGACTGCCTAGCATGGTTCATCTGACCTTGACCTCATTTTCATGATTCATTAGTCAATGTTTAGTTTACTTGGTTAATGTTAAGTTTATGTGACAGTTGTAATAAAGCTTCATATTTAGGACTATCAACATAATATCAATGATAAGTAAAGAAGGTGAGACATTTCAGCGTGTGCACTCTTGTATGGGTTAATATGAATCACTCTGTCCAACATTGGACTGCTTTTCCTTTCCTTATCTTTTGACTGAAGATGTAAAGCAATAAGATGTGTATTGCATATCATCATGACTTTCATATGATCTTTACCTTTGACTTTTGAGTTCAAATACTTCATTAATTTTGTACATTTCCATCTCTGGAAAAATCTTTTATCCTTTAACATAGACATAGACATATGTGGCACTTGTGCAGCACCTAAAAACAATGTGTCACAGACCTTGGAAGATGACCTCTGAACCTACCCTTTGACGTAAAGTCAAAAAATTGATTTTTATAGATCCACCCTTAAACATATACATTCTTTCAATACAATTCAAAGTTTGCCCCTTGGGGGTTATGCCCCACTCCCTTGTATAATAAATCTTAAAATATCTAAAAATGGTCAAACTCCCACCCCTTAACCTATCTGGACTGCCTTCATCAGACCTTTCAACTTAACCATAGATTTTGTCCATGTGGGACATACCCCACCATACCCCACCACCTGCATGTTGTTAATTGTTACATATATTTAACAGTTAATATTTTCTTTCATTACCTCCCCTCCAAAAAAAATTTCATTTGCCATGACAATACCTTTTTAGTAGTAGTACATGTTTTTTACTAGAGTAACTTTTAGAGATGAAGGGGAGATTAGTTTTAGTTTTGGATTTAGATTGCTGCCTCTTTGGGATATACCTTGCATATCTTTTTATACATATGTAAGCAATTTCATACTTTCTTTATTTTTCAGGACTTACTTATTACAGTGTTTGAAAACGGAAAACTATTAAGGGACTATACATTTGATCAGGTTCGACAAAATGCTGAATTGCCATTGGTGAAAGAAAGGAAAACATCATCATAAAAGAAACCAAGTCTTTAACTAACCAAGATAACTTTCCCATTTATACAGAATGCAATTCCTTCACCAACCATAGGAGATTTCTTCTACTGCCACATTAATAATAGGATGAAAAGCTATCATTTACAAATACATTTTCACTTGTCAACATTTGTCATATGTACATGTATAAGTCCAAAGTCCAAAAGTTGAGTGTCTAGTGTGTTTGAATGTTATGTATAAGGGTACATAACTCTTGTGACTATAATGTATAAGGGTACATAACTCTTGAAAGTAATAGTTACTGCTGAATCTCCTTTTACAAATCTCACTATTGACTTTAGTGAATGTATATTGTCCACCATTAATTTGTATACACACTTTATGTCTCACCTGCAATGAAAGTTGCAGAGGCAAGACTTAGTTTTCACAGATGCTGTTAAATTGATAATTTGGAGATGTCTTGTAATTAATAGTTAATCAACGGGCATAGAGGGCTAAATAAAAAAAAGTATATGAAAAACAGAGAATTTTCCTTTGATTTATACTTAAAAACAAACCATTTGTATGTATGTAACATAAAATTTCCCTCAATCAGTATGAAAAACATAATTTTTCTTCAATTTACACATAAAAACAACACTTTTTTTTGTTGCTTTTATGCACCCTTTAAACAACATTCCTGAATCAATGCTTTGGTAAAATTGTTGCTAATATGTTTAATGATATAGAGCACAATTAATGTGAACAATTAAGATTGACTTTATGCTAGTCAAAGAAAGACAATCTCCAGAAATTTTAAATTCTAATCTTTAAAAAAATCTTTTTATAAATATATTCCTTAATAATTGGACTTCTACATATATCAAATAGATGAGTAGATAAAAAAAAATCGGAGGGGAAAGGGGAGGGGCCTCAATATTGTTTAACAATTTTAATGAAGTTTATTCAATTGATAAATCATTAGAAAATAAATACCAAAAATAATGTTATGTCTCCATTTTTTTCATGAACTGGTAATTGGATAATAAAAATGAGAAATTATATCATTATAGTTAATAGCATGTACCAGGGTATCATCTGCTTAAATTTTCATTAGATTATTACAAAATTTAAGGTCTTTTGTTTTACAAATTTCTAATATTTTTCCAACTACATTATTTTGTATCTGCTGTTGATTTCTAAATCAAAACTCTTAAAACTCAAATTGACTATTGCCTGCAACATTTGAATCACAATTTTGGTACAATTGGAGAATTAAGTTAATGGCTCAGGGAAATATACATGCTTAGCTTATCATCAAATGTCAATTAATTATAAAAAGGTGTCAACTGCATTTATTTTACAAAGGAAGACCATAAAAAAATTATCCTTACATAAACAAATTGGCATATAGAACCAATTTTTAGATTTGTTATTTAGGTTGGTCATTTCATTGTACATGTTGCACAGTTTCAGTCATTTCATAATATTTATTTAAAATTAGCATTCCTCAATTCATCTTAAATAAGTCTGAGTTAACTGATTTATTTTTGTTTTCTTCTACAACACACTCCTGTTCACAAAAATGTGACTGTCTTGTCTATAATGTGTAACACTTAACTGATGTAGATTTATATGAAAATGACCACAGCTTTCCACTAGCTAATGTCAATAAAAGTATATGTATGATATTTTTTATTGAACTATATTTAATTGTTTGTTAATTTTACAATTTAAGTTTATAATTTTGTACTGAGCACCTTTTTTGTTTTCTTTTGAACATTTTTACTGAATTTTTATAGATTATATGTACAGTTGTAACATTTTTGAAAAAATGTATATGTTTATATGATTGAGTGCTAATATTGTTATGCATTAACAGATCTTTATACAGGGATACTTGAAGAATTTAATTTTTGTGAATCCCTGGGAAATTTCTTTAAATTTTACTTAGTCAAACCGTTGTCATAAAAATAAGGAGATGAGGTATGATTGCCAATGAGACAACTATCCACCAAAGTTCAAATAAAGTGGAAGTAAGCAGCTATAGGCAACCGTATGGCATTCAACAATGAGAGAAACCCATACCGTATAGTCAGCTATAAAAGGTCCCGACATGAATTGTAAGGAAACTTTGATGAGTCCCAACTAAAAGTTGACACTTCAGCACTTATCTTGGTAAGTCCTAAGGATCACTGATGTATATATATATATATATTACCAATTCCATTTTTACTTATCTTGGTAAGTCCTACAGATCACCCATGTTTATACATATATCAGCAATTCCAGTTTTACTTTTCTAGCCCTTCCTTAATATAATACATTTCTTGGTATTACAGTGTAAATAGTTTAACATATTGTTATAAAATTTCAGAAAGTATTTTGTTAAAAAAGCAAGTTGTACTAAGGTGAACTAAAATTTCCCATTTAATACAACAGCAGTGTATAAAATAACTTGTTCATGAAAAAAGATGACCAATGTTTTTACTTTTCCAAAAAAAATTTTATGGGGGGTCAATTTTTTTTCCTCAAGATTTAAGAAATTGTCAATTTTCCAAAGAAAAATTGGGGGTCACAATTTATTTTGCTTTTTCTTTGTATATAGTCTGAAAACAGATTTACAAAGTATTGCGCAACAGCACAGTGTATTGCACAAAAGCAAGAAATCTTCAATTGAATATAAATTCAAATCATATAACCAATTTCAAGTTCTTTGACTACATTTATTCTGTGTCAGAAACCTATAATGTGTCAAATATTTAATTACAATCCAATTCAGACCTGTATCAAGCTTGATTATTGTGTCAATTTTTGCCCCAACTGTTCAGGGTTGGATCTTTGAGGTCGTATCCAGCTGCACTAGGCGAAGCAGTTTATTTTCATTTGTTATTTAAACATCATATTTTAATACACATGTCAAAATTTAAAACCAATCTTGCCAAGTGTTTAATTAACTGTATAATATAGCCTTCTGCACACTTCCGAAACAGCCTATATATTTTTCAAATGTAATATCTTTTACAATTTGCAAAAGTTAGAAATTACATATTTATTTGTTTGTAATGAGAGGTCAGTGATTACTATTCATTAGATATATCATATTTTCATTTTATAGATCTTCATTTAATGAAAGAACTCATTCAGTCATGAATATTCATTTAACATGTCTCATCTCTTTCTCTTACAGTAATGATAAGTCCTATTGGATATTAATGAATCCAGTTTCACTTTTTATGCAAAGCCAATGTTTTGTAAGTGATTTATTGTTACATTCAACCAATTTATAGCAATAAAAGTTGTATTATAATAGTGTTATGTCTGTGTAGATTTGACTGTATTATGGTATTGGTTTGTTGTTTTATGTATATGTTAAACTGACATATTACTCCATCATGCAAATCAGGTTTTTAATACTCAGTAGTTAGCCTTTCTCATTTAATGAGAAGCTATTGAAAGTTGCTGGATTTATCGTTCTTATTGTCCCCACGCGTTGAGGGGTACATAAAAATACCAGGTGGGCGTCCGTCCGTCCAGGCTTGTTAGCACTACTTCATGTACAATTCTTGCCTGATTCTTATAAAACTTTTATCATAGGTTTATATCAGCAATGTCTCCGACGATTTCGAAAATCAGTGGAGATGAACTATTTTTAAAAGAGTTATGCCACTTGGAAACATTAATTATATGGAAAATTGCATCATAAGCGCTTTCATGTGTAAAATTCTTGCCAGATTTTTATACAATTTATATTATAGGTTTATATCAGCAATGAGCCTCCTCATGGGGTTTTTATACGACCGCAAAAAAATTTTGTGGTCGTATATTGGTATGACGTTGGCGTTGTCGTCGTCCGAAGACACATTGGTTTTCGCACTCTAACTTTAGTTTAAGTGAATGGATCTCTATGAAATTTTACCATAAGGTTCAATACCACAAAAGGAAGGTGGGGGTTATGGTACCAACTGTTAAGGAATTAGGGGCCAAAAAGGGGCCAAAAATAAGCATTTTTGTAACTTCCAGACATAACTTGTGTGTTAGTGTATGGATCTCTCTGACATTGTACCACAAGGTTCCATATCACAAAGGGAATGCTTGGATTGATTTTGGGGGTAATTTATCTCAAAATTTTAGGAATTAGGGGCTAAAAAAAGGCAAAAAACAAGCATTTTTCTAGCTTCATGACAATAACTTGTGTGTAAGTCTATGGATCTTTCTGAAATTGTACTACAAGGTTCCATATCACAAAGTGAAAGCTGGAATTGAGTTTGGGGGTAATTGCCCAAAATGTTTAGGAATATGGGGCCAAAAAGGGGCCAAAAAACAAGCATTTTTTTAGTTTCCAGACAATAACTTGTGTTCAAGTGTATGGATCTCTATGAAATTGTACTGCAAGGTACCATACCACAAAGGGAAGGCTGGCATTGAGTTTGGGGGTGATGAATCATAAGGGGGTTCAAAAAATTTAGGGGGGGATTTTTTTTCCTTTTTTTTTCTTTAAAATTTTCCATTTTAAATTGGTTATTTCTGATTTATATATAAAAGCAAATAATAATGATATGGTTTGAATAGGTAAATTAAAAAAATTTAAGTTCTTAGACCACATTCATTCTGTGCTGTATCAAGCTTGAATGTTGTGTCCATACTTGCCCCAACTGTTCAGGGTTCGACCTCTGCGGTCGTATCAAGCTACGCCCCGCGGAGCATTTTATTGATTATGTGATTACTTGGGCATTTTTACAGTGATTATTTGATTACCAGACCAAATATTTCATGATTATTTGATTATTTGATAATCTAGGACTGTATTTTTGATTATTTGATTATCTTGTTTAAAAAAATAATTAATGATTATGTGATTATATTGGCAAAAAATTTGTGATTATGTGATCACTTGGACACCATGAACGGCCTCAGCAATGACTCAAACAAATTCAAAAATCAGTGCCGATCAATAATTTTTATAAGAGTTATGGCCCTTAGAAATATTAATAATATGGAAAATTGCATTGTTAGCGCTCTATCACGTGTACAGTTCTTGCCAGATTTTTATGAAACTTATATTGTAGGTTTATATCAGTGATCTCTCAGATGAGTTCGAAAATCAGTGCTGATCAATTATTTTTAAAAGAGTTCTGCCCCTTAGAAATAACAGGGGATATGCTGAATTTTTCGTTTCCATTCTCTAACTTAAGTTTCCCTTTTCCAAATGTTATGAATCTTATACACAATGCTTATTCCCACAAAACTCAGATCAAGTTTGAATTTAAGTGGTGTCTCTTTTACCTAACAAGAGTTATGCCCCTTTAAAAATGGAAAAACTGCTGATTTTTTTGTTTCCATTCTCTAACTTAAGTTTGCCTCAACCAAATGTTAGGAATCTTATACACAATGCTTATTACCACAATACACAGATCAAATTTGAATTTTGGTGGCATCACTTTTATTGTTCTAAAGTTATACCCCTTTAAAAATGGAAAAATTGCTGAATTTTTAGTTTTTTTCGTTCTTTAACTTAAGTTTGCCTCAACCAAATGTTATGAAACTTATAAACAATGCTTATTACCACAAAACTCAGATCAAGTAGGAATTTGGGTAGTGTCACTTTTACCTTTCTTGAGTTATGTCCCTTTATAACCTGATATGCAAGCAGGGCATCGACTGTCCCATGGACACATTCTTCATTTATTTAATTATGAGTTTCTGTTACCTCCAATTTCAGAATTAGAGTAAGAATTCATTCAAAAATTCATTAATCGGTAAATAAGTATCATAATTGAATTTTATAAAGGTTCTGATGCTGAATTATGTAAATTATATGTATATATATGTCCACGGATTTGTATAGTGAGACGCTATACAAATCCTTGTTATGTCGGACTATTAAATAATGATCCTAAACCATTTTAGAAGTTAGGAGTTGACAAAATGGCAACTCATTATACATCAGCCAAAAGTTCAAAATTGTTAAACAAAGAAATTTTTGTTTCACATAGTCCTTTTCTTGAATTAAGACTGGATATTAAGAAAAATAAAAGCAGACATAAAATGTTCCACAAACAAGTAATTCATGCAAATGACAGAAATGGTCCACAAACAAGTAATTCATGCAAATGTCTGAAATGGTCCACAAACAAGTAGTTCATGCAAATGTCTGAAATGGCCCACAAACAAGTAATTCATGCAAATTACTGAAATGGTCCACAAACAAGTAATTCGTGCAAATGACTGAAATGGTCCACAAACAAGTAATTCATGCAAATGTCTGAAATGGTCCACAAACAAGTAATTCATGAAAATGTCTGAATGGTCCCCAACAAGTAATTCATGCAAATGTCTGAGCTCTTTCCAAATGGTCCTGTAGTAAGATAACAGGACCCAAAAATCTCAGAAAATGAGGACCCAAAATAGGATTGATTGATTAATCTCTATAATCATACTTGTATGATGTCAAATTATTGTATAAAAGATTTTGTCCTGGCCAATAAGGTGACAGTAATGCTTTACATCATTCTTCATTTAATTTACAGAACTAGAATACATTTCTCTAAAAAATATGTGTCTAACAGGACTGTGTGTTCAGTATGTGTCTAGAAGGACTGTGTGTTCAGTATGTGTCTAGAAGGACTGTGTGTTCAGTATGTGTCTAGAAAGACTGTGTGTTCAGTATGTGTATATACAGTTTGTGTACTATTGATTCCCAAACCCAAATCTATAAAAAGAAGAAAGGTACTGACAGAAATATAATATATCCAGTATATTACTAGAAGGGTACATACATTATAGTGGGAGATATGTTTATATTCTAAGATTAATAACATATAGAAGCCATTTATAAATGATTTTACATACAGTGATATATATTAGAGACATGTCTCTGTATATATCTAGAAGACAGGAAGTTGTAATAACCTCAGAAGTGTTTTCCTAATTAGGTTAATGGGATATTTTTTGCTGTAGTCATATTTAGATTTATTTGGAGCCCAAGATCAAAGTTCCAAAATCGAACAAACACTAATAAAACATTTAGCAAAAAAATAATCAATGCAGGATTTTTACAAATGATGAGTCAAACATTGTGAGCAATGATAAAGATCAAACAATCAAATTAACTCAAATTTCACTAAATGTTATGAGAAAAAACAATTATCCTATTTATAAGCCTAGTAGGGTCAATCAACAAATATTTCAAGCTAATTGGCCCTTTTACCAGATTAAACTGATTATAAGCGTAAATCCAATTAAATTTATAAAATGATACTTTAATTAGTCTAGCCTCAGTTCAAATGTCTAATTATTGCAAGTAAAATCTGCTCATTTTTAGATCAATTCTTTCTAATTAATATCATAATGGTATGGTCTCTGATGATATTTTTTTTTTTATATATATATAAAAAAAAAAGTGTGGTTTCTGATGATATTGAACTTTGATCTATTTCAGGTGTAAAACCAGATATTACTTTATGCTTAATTAAAACTAATTGAAATATTTTGAAAAGTGCAATTTGATCACTACTGTTTTTTGTGAAAAGGGCCAAAATGTCAAGATTTGCAGTATTTAAAGTATTTGTAACAAGAGTATGTTTTCAAATAAATTTTATATCTGAGGTCATAGAGAGTAAATCAAGTATTTTTCATAAACAAATAGCACAGCCAGTATAATTGATCTAAGTCAAGCACAGTATATCTCAAACTTGAATATATAATAGCTAGATTCTTAAAATCTATCATACAAGACAATACCTTGTAACAATTCCACATTCTGTTCCAATCTTTTTATACTATATAATAAATTATTTATAGTTGTGTAGAAAGTAAATATGTTACAGATTGAAGATGTATTTATATTTGTCCTCTATTACATGAATACAATTACAAAGTATTATTTACTGCAAGTTAACTATTGGAATTGTCATATACAAATACATTGTACCATATTTTCTCAACCAGATTGTAGAATAGACAATACAATTGGAATATATAAATTGACCACTTGGTATTGTGAGAACTGATTACTCCTGGAGTTCAATTGCATGTGGCTGACAACACAAGTTCATATACACATAATATATATATATACTTTACTTACAGTGATAATAGACCAAATATCAACCTTTTCAGTTATTAAGGTAGACCAACACCAGGCTTGTAAAAATTTGCTGGTTTTATAGCTGACATGTGTCATGGTGTCAAACGGTTAAAATTTGATCAATTTGGTTAGCAAGATGAATGGATGGATGCTTGATGTCCAGTGGTAGTAAATGCATATTCAGGATGAGAATATGAAAACATGATAATGTGATATAAATA